CTAAACCTAGCCCTGTAGACTTCAGACTGATTTTGGGTTCCATACCTGAGTTTTAGTGCTCTATAGTTGTGCCTGACGTCTGCTGACAACTGTCCAAATATTTCCAGTGGTTGTCCCTTCAGGCTCGTTGCCAGATATACTACTTTCTGCTCCTCTGTCCATCCATTCATTTCTGCCAGGAGCTCAAATTGTGCTCTATATGCTTCCCATGGTGCCTTCCCATCGAATTTCTGTGGCTTCCTTCATATTAGATTACCCCTATTGCTGACACTCATGTCTGGAATGTGACTTCTGACAGGACTGAAGATGTCTGCATTAGGGTTTAGCAATGATTCACGCACTTTACTTACGGCTTGACTCGATTATCTGTCTCTATCTTTCTGTCTGCTATTCAATTATCTATGTCGTCACTTCTCGCCGGTCTTATATATACAAAATAGAGGGCGTCTGGCAAACACTAAAGCCTGCAGGAACGTTCGAGATAATCATTACTTGTTATCAGCCTCACGTGACTTCCGCTGTCGTAACAATATGTATTTTATGAAATAGCTCACAGAGACAATAACATTCAAAACATTTAACTCCATAGAATAACATTTGTTTTTAACACTTTTTTGACTAAATGCTATTCACGTACTTTAGAAACAAACTATAGTTTCCAGACAACAGAAATTCCTCATTTCGTTTTCAATATAAGGACGTGGTTTAATAATGTGAAGATTTGGCGCTTACACGGACTTTTAGTACTATGAATTTAGCTTCCTTTAGTCGAAATAAGTAGTAAGAGGAGCATAGTTAATGTATTTGACTACGTTTAATTAAGACAAAAACAAAAAATGGCTTTCTTCATAAATGATGAAGTTTTTAACAATTTATTAAAAAAACAGATATTCCGAGGCAGTGATTTATTTTTCAGGAACGTTTAAAAAACTGACTTAAAATATTTATTTTTACTTTCAAAAACACATTATATATTTTCAAAAGACGTGTCTTTCACCCGTCTTGAATTCTTGATGATATTAATTTGAATATTTTTAGTATATTTTTTCTTTTATTATATATTTCGTGAGGTGACACATTAGCATTTTATCAAGAATGACATTTCCGAAGGTCAATTTACAGGGCTATAAATAAGACAGGGCTTTCTTTCATAATTTCTCACAATCATAATTTATTTTCCGTTTGGGAAATGTATTACGGAGTCAGTTTTACGTTGAGCTTCATAACATAATACATATCCAACACAGAACAACCTGATCCTTCAAAGCTGTCCCTTGAGAAAATCAAACTTTTGAATTCATCTTTTATTTTTCAGGAAGTCATTGATTACTGTTAGTTTCTGCTATTTTCGACGGCAACACATTCTGTAAGTCAATCATCCCGTCAGAAAAATAAAACTAGAAGTAGCACTATTTTCCAAACTTTAAGATAGCACTGCCCCTTAAAACTGGGGGAATTTACGTGCTGAGGAAAAACTTATTATAACCTTCAAGTTGAGCACAAAACAAAAGTATGATGTTGCAATCTGTGAAAGCACATTTTCAGTCATGTATATTATATGATAAATAATGCAACTGTTTTACTTAAGAATGGTAAAAGATCTGAAAATTAATACACATGCTCTTAAAGCATTAAAGCCAATATCAGCATGAAATTTTGCACACTCTTGATATTACACTCTTCCTAGACTGATTTTTTTTTAAATTTAAAAACCTTGATCAATTGACTAGTCATGAGTCTAATTACCACTAACGAAGGCATTAATTAAAATGAATTGTTCATAGCTCGTTAAAGTTGCAGAAAATTAGCAAAGTTTTAAATTCAAGCTATAAGGATGTTCACAAAGAGCATGTGTATTAATTTTCACATGCTTTTATCATTCCAAAGCAAAGCTATGGTATTAAAACAGTTTATGTGATTTATTTCCTTATCACTGCCGTATTAATTATACATATGATATATATGTGACTGAAAGTGTATTTTGAGAGATTGCAATATCATACTTTTGTTTTGTGCTCAGCTTGAAGGTTATAAGAATTGGTTCTATAGTATGCCAATTTGCCCAGTTTTAAGGATCACTGCTACCTTAAACTAGTGTCTCCTGTCTTATTGTTTTCAGAATCCAGCATAGAGAAATCGGAGGTTTTTATGATATTGGTTCAAAGATTTTGCAAAATTAAAGAATAAACACATGAACACTTAAATTACTTATTCGTAACAAAATAATAACTGAAGCGTTAAATAAGAGCTGAATTTAGAAAAGGGAAATATTTATTTCAATCAAATTAATTGATTGGTGAGACATTTTAAGTATATATATGGATTATCGGAGCGTTATCAAATAATAAAAACTTGAACAGAAAATATTATCAAATTGTATCAAATTAACTTTCAATAATGTTTTTTTAAAGTATTAAATGTATTTAAGTAACTATATCTCTATGCAACATAGATAACTTAAGTTGATGCCAAAGCTTTAACTTGATAGGTCGTGAACAGATGTATTTAGATATATTTCTTTCACTACAGTTTTTAGAAGCATTCCATAAACATTTGGTTTCTGAAGAGAATCTCGAGTGTTATGAACTTATGACAACTTCAAAATTTCTTGATAATTTTCTTTAGAGGATTTAAAATTTCAGTATCTTACTATCATTATGTGATACCTTATGTAATGCAGAAAGGTAATTTTGGTATTCGAAAAGAAAACGTATAAACAAGACACCCTTATGCATATATACTTTCCTGTTCGTTGCCCTAAAAATAGATCACTAGCATTTCTGTGGAGGACCGAGATTTCTCTAAAAAAGTGAATTACTTATAAATCCACGAAAACGAGCTAAAATTTTGATATTATATAGCAATTTAAATTTTCTTATATGTGTTGTTTATGTATTTTTGCCAACAGCTGTATAGATATACTTTTATATGATTTGGTTATGTTGCGGTATATGACGTCACGTCCTCGGCAAGTCCAAACGACTGGATAAAGGCAAGGATTGGCAACTAGGCTTATTGCCAGTTGGTTGGTTTGGTTAAATTTGTATGATGGTGTTCAAACTTGGGCGAGTGAGAGCCGAGATTCTTAGTTAAAGTTTAAATAAATTACTATTTTTTGTATTTGTTTGGAAATGCTGTTAGTGTTACCATACCATGCGTTTAAAATTTTAACTTATTTAAGCCCATTAAATCGGTAACTAATATCACTAATACTAATAGTAATAACAATTTTTGGCGTCTGTTGTGTTGCAACTTGCAGTTGAACTAGAGGTAAGTGTTTTTAAATTTATATCAGTAATATTGACAGTGTAATTTGTAAAGAATAATTTAATTCAGTAACTAGTATAATGTTTTTAAGGCTTGGGCACAACTATGGTACTCCTAATTGATCTGTTTGCGTTAGGCTTAGTGCCATTGCCGGCCGCTGGACTCTTGCAATGAGCATTTCTATTATACTGCTACTGTTCTGTACAAGCTGTAGTGTGTATAGTTTGTACTGAAGCTTAGGCAGGTTTGTGTTGTTTATAATTATATATTAAAATTTGCTCCATCTAATCAATACAAAGAACTGCCAAGGTTAAGAACCATTAGTGGTTCCAAACTTTAATACTAAGAATATTTTACCGAAAGTATTACTAATAGTAATAGTAATACTACTTAAACTTTAAACGTGTAAAACTAAAAGCATAAACTATACTCCATAATTGAACACAGGTATACTATGTTTTATTTTATGTAGTAATATCCTAAGATATCAAACTAAGCAATTTTAGATGTAAATGCCTGGACAGAATAGTTATTAACATTTTATGGAACCATATTATTACTATTACTGTCAAACCAGCATAAGCATACTGAATAACATTGACAAATGAAAATTTTTGGAAGTTGACAATTTCAACTTTTTTATGAAATTGAAATTTTTTTTTTCCATAATGTGCAAAAGTGTATTTATATAAGCCTATAGATCAACAAAATTTTCTTCAAGCGAAGAATGGGTGTTTTACAGGTAAGTAATATAACTGTTACAAATATCATTGTAAAAGATTGTATGCCATTGAAAATTCCTGGAAATGAAACACATATGATGTTCCTGTGGAAAAATTAGTGAATACTTCATAATCTCATTGGATTACTGACTTCACACATGTTTATGCTGATTAGATTGAACTTTTACTTCTAAAACAAATAGGAAATTGCAAATAATACAAGTAGCAGATCTTTTCATAAACAAACAACTGAAACTTTTTCTTGGACATGCTTTCTTTACTTTTACTCCACTTTTATTTCTTAACCATTTCACTACTTGAGTGGGATGGAAAATCTCATCTCATGCACACACACAGAAAAACATATTTTTTTTTTACTTTATGGAGTTGTAGTATAGCATGCATAGTTAAAGAATACACATCAAAAGGATATGTATATGACTTTTCTGTAGGACTGATGATGTGAGGAGGAAGTGACCCTCACTGATTGCAAGATAAGATGGGAGGGTGAGCAGGACTTGTTTTTTTTATTCCAGATGTGATATTGCACAGTTTTGATCATCAATAACGTGACTATATTGTACAAGCATTACACTGAGTGCACTTCTATAAATCACTAAAACTACTGTTTTTAATGCCTGATGTTTACACTACTTTTTTTTCCTGCTATGTATCAAATATTGCGATTGACATGTGTAGGTCACTGGTACAATAAAATATCAGCTGGGACTTCAAACAGTGGTGGGAAAGCCTAAAACATCATATGGTGAGAAGTGCAGTTGTCTAGAGAAACACATGATGCACAGGGCAGTGAAATGGCTAAAGTTTAGGAAATAGCAAAATGATGCTTGTAGATGCGTACCACTTTCTACAACTCTGAAACATATTAACATTTTCACAGTTTATTGTATTACATTCCATTTCATTTTTTGTTTGTAGAATAAAAGTTATAAATGCATTGTTTATAAACCATTTAAAAATTTTTATAGTAAATATACAATACCTCTTTGTTTTTCTTTATTGATAGGGAAGAATATATTTACTTGTGTCTTGTCTTATCTTCTTGGAATTATGTGATTGTGGTATGATTTTTGTTATTACTAATAAACAAAACCATTATTTTAGGACATGCTTCATCATTAAGAAACAAGTAATTACCTGAATATTTCACAATGTTATTTAATGATTGGAATATCTTTCATAATCATGCCATGTCTTGTTTATGAAAAGTAAAGTATTAAACACTTATCCTTTTACATGTATATTTTCATAGAAATTATTATTGTGTATCATCTGGATGAAGTTTTGTAATCAATTTTGATGGAAATAATTACCCAATAACTGTAACTGGAAAATGTCCATGTATACGAGTACACAATACAATCGTAATTTTCAGATTTTGGGTGAAACTTTACTGGGAATTGTTTTTATTAGCCTGATCATGTGATAACCTATCTGCCCAATGTGTGGAAGGTTACATAGTTAGTCACTTATCAAAAATTGACAACTTATAATCTAACAGGGTAGGGTGGTGACTTTCATTTAGCTTGAAATGTTAACTGTAAAAGTGTTTTGGAAGATAATTTTTATAGAGACAGATTTCTTTAAGCTGTAGCCTGTTTCACTGGATCCTTTTGTGTACATTGTTCAGTCAGCATTGTAATATAATCATAAAATACATTTTTTCTATAATGCTGTTTAGTTTCAATTAGTGAATGTTTAACCCTACTGTCATGGGTCAAAGGCCATGTCATCGCATTTCTTGACTCCCATTCAAAATTTTGTTGAACTACTATTTTTTGAATTTGTGTCAATAAGTTTGGTATCAAATTGTAGATTGTAGTTCAAATTTTAGTATCATACATTATTTAATTTCTTAATTTAAAAGTAAATATTAAAAAAGTCCTAAATATTGACTTTTGTGTGTCATGTGGTATGTTGAATGCAGCATTGGTTCAAATTAGATGTTTGGATGATGTCCAAATACAAAGTCTATAGTTTCTTATGAATTAGATACTCAAATTACCAATATTGACAAGCTAGAATATAAAATAATCTACTATCTTTTCTATTTTCTGAGATATTAATATATTTACTGAATCAACTAAGATGTCTCCACCTACCTCTTCAATTTTTGAAAATACCTGCTTATGTACACCTACTTCAACCAGTGTCATGTGTATAACCAATCGAAAGCTCAAAATGCCTCTCTAGTGGTTTTCTCAGCCTCTGCGAAGTATTTGAATGGCAAACTCTCTTTTTATGCTAGTTTACAAGCGGTAAGGTAAGACATTACTGAGCTCGAAAATTTAATATTTTTTGGGACCCAAATGCAGCTTAGTTTTTAAGCTTGATAAATTATGGTGGAATTCTTTGGTATTAATATAGTAGTTTATGATTTTTGTTTATTTCCAAATGTATATATAAAACCTAAAAACGTTATTTCGTTTCACATCCTCCACGTGCGAAATTTGATAAGGCTTAGCAACCTTAGGCAAGCAGCAAATGATTACAAAGTTCATAACTAGAAGAAATAATTGTTTGCTGCACTTCTTTATTTACTATTCTATGTTTTAAGAACAATAAGTTTAAGGACTTATTTGTAAATAGTAATAATGGATCTACATATATAACATAACTGAAATGTGACTATTTTACAAAATACTAGTCCACTAAAACACAGCCAAGACAGGTCACTTTATAAAAGCCAGTTTTATATTCTTTGATATGGTAACAAGAGTGCACATGTGCTGCTTCACTGTAACTTCTGTATTGTTAGGCAGGCATACCTGAAAGGTCAATATAATAAATATATATATATAGATGTACAATGTTATGAAGTGTAAGCTATATAGTCTAAACATTTATGTTTTCGTGTTATAATTTGTAGTCATTCTAGAACAAAAAAAGCATAATTTATATTCATTTCCTAATTTTTATGGTGGTTACGAGTTCAGTTGAATGGACCCAACCTGTATAAAGAGACAGTAGTGAAAATAACAGATGAAATATAAAAATATTTTCTTAAAAAAACATTTGATAATTATCTGGAGGATATGAAGATTTTGCATGTGAAATTCGAAAATTTTCTGATGCATAAAAGTATTTTTAATCTTAAAATCAGAATTACTTTGAATCAAAAAAGAAAAAAGGCATGAGAAAAACATTACTTAAGAAATCTTAAAATTTAATAACAAAATCTGATATTTTGCATACAAAAGACTTGTAATGTTTACTGATAATATGCAAAATTTTGTGAAGATGTGCTTACTAATTTAAAAGTTGTAGCATAAATACTATAACAAGCACAAAATGGTTACGAGGTCTGAGCCCGTACTGGGAGAGTTAATAGATCTTTGGAATCAATTTCAGTTTCACTATCTTGCACATTGCTGCACAACATAAGTTACATAAACAGTTATAACTCAATCACAATAATATTGGGAAAAGGGTCAAAATCTTTTGATGTACAGAATATCAATACTTCTTGTTGGTTAATGTATGTATTTTGTATCAATATATTGTTTGATGCATGCTATTTTACATGGAATTTTATTTAAGGTTTTAGTGATTCTTAGTAGCAGTTCTTAGTAGTGATTTGCAAGACTGGTTAAAATTAGTGTGTGTTTTTAATTAAGATACAAAAGAACTTAAGAACATATACATTTAGATTTTTTACTTTCTGAATTAAGAAACTTCACTACCAAAATCATTATGGTTAATATGTATTTTGCTCTTACTAAATAAAACAAAAAGCAATTGACATGATGATGTAGCTTGTAATAATAACTACAAAATAAGAAATGCTGCAACATCAGAAACTAACCTTTTCATTTTGTAGAGATGAATTGCTAATTTATACCTGAAGAAGTAAGGTTTACCTTCCATAAGATCTTAGGATGTTGGATTTCTTGATTTGTAATTTGACTAACTTTTGATTTCTGAAAATCTTGAAGTCATTATGGTCCATATTATCATACAATGTATAAAGAATAGAAGAATGATTGAGATGACAAGGCTAATCGGACCATTTACTAGTCAGAATATTAAAACAAAACTAAATATGGTCTTTGATATCTTTATACTGATAGAACAAATGTTTAATTAGATATTTTCAAAAATCTTGTATCACCTTTGTATGATCCTTTCCTAGTGTACTGACGGCTCTGTATGTTCAGCCACTGGGTTATCGATAATAGTCTAGACTAGCTCCATAAAGATACATTCACATGCTGAGTAGTGAACTGACTCATTTTAAACATTAAATTCAGACACCAGTAG